GCAACCGTGAACGAACCCTTTATTACCTTATTCTTGAATGTGTATTCATCGAAGTTGTTGAGGTGTTGTAAAATTTCTTTTACTTGTCATTTAAATTGTACAGATAGCCAGTCTTCATTGTACATAGATGTTTGCCTTCCGTTGCATTACAGGATTGATCATGACTGATGTAAATACCGTGCATATTAATTAAATTACTCGAAATACTTTTGGCGTATAATAGTTTATTTCTTGATACTGTTGTCATTCCTGTGTTTTTTGTTTGGTTTGTAATAATAATAATAATAATATATAACATTTATATAGCGCATTTCCAAAAAAAAAGTAGCTCAATGCGCTTTACATTGGAATACCCATTTTTCAAAAACCTTTCTTACTACATTGTACTTCCTTTCTTCTCAAGCAATATACATTAATGCATGCACACACACACACACACACACACACACACACACACACACACACACACACACACACACACACACACACACACACACACACACACACACACACACGCACACACACAGAGACTATTTTCATCCAGACATAGGAACAGAACAAATATAATGAAAGATAACGTTAAAAGCTTATGAAGGATAGGCCTGTAGGAACAGAAAATGTTTAAGATGTCTTTTGAAGCTATCAAGTGTTCTTATTTGTCTTAGTTTCATGGGTAATCTGTTCCACATAAATGGACCAAGATATGAGAAAGATCTCTCTCCATATGATTTGTATGATTTTACAGGTGTCACAAGTAGGGTGTTATCGTTTGATGATCTTAGGTTTCTCCCTGGTTTATATATACTGATAAGTTCTTGTAGTGTGTGTGTGTGTTTGTTTGTTTGTGTGTCTTTGTGTGTGTGTGTGTGTGTGTGTGTTCGTGGGTTTGCGTCGATGTGCTTCGATCTCTTAAATTTACTCCATCAAAAAAGAAATACCAAATCAGAAACCACACAAACCAACTATCTATGAAGAACGACAACAAAGAGGTTCATTCATAATAATGTTTATTTGGGAACAAAAGTTAAACATGCAAATATTTGTTTTGTGGTTGTTAAGAACTCGCTTGGGGTCCTTGAACCTCTTACTCTAGTACATGTCGTGTACTTAAAAAATCACCCAAAAAATTATGTGAAAAGCCCAGACACAAGAAATGTACTTTCGACGTTTCCAGCAAAGATGTGCACGGCCAAAGTCGATTAGAAATAAAACAAAATACCAGTTTGAATATTAACGAGATACAAATCACATAGTGACTGAACTCTAATGGATAACCTATTCAAGTTGCAAAAGGCTGGATCACTTATGAAAAAATACACAAAGGAGGTCTTTTTAATTAATGAGATAATACGGTCACTTCTACATTTCACTAAAATCTTTGATATTGCTCTTATTTTACTTAACCTTTGCGTCTGGTCCATTTAATCTTTATTATCCATTTTGCAGTTTACAGATATAAAATCTCCGAGAACTTGATTTTTTGGAACATTGAAAAAGAAAAGTGTTATAATCTGCTGCCCCCCTTTCAATTCCAACCAAAAGAAAACGAAAAAATACCCAAACAAACAAACAAATCAAAACAATCATACAAACGAAAGGGTCTGCATATTCGTAGGCCCTATAATTATATCGATTCGCCATTTAGTCTGACGACTAAAAAGTAAATTCAAGCATCATTAGCGTTTAATTTTTTCAGTTTGGGTGAAATGAAGAACATTGACACAATAACAGTCTTTCAGGGTGAATAATCTCTGTAAAGAGCATAGAACATGCTGTGGAGCATGGTATGCTATATAACTGGAAGTAATATTGCTATTGTTGTCATTACCAATAATTAGGCCTATGATAATATTATAACCATTGTCATTTTGAGTCGAACTTTCAGCATAGTAATAATGACTTGTGTCTGTCTTTAACGCTTTCTAAATGCACTCATTTTCTGGAGGTTGCCCCTGCCGGACCTACTTTTCGTTCAGTTTTGTCCTTTCTTGTCTGATTGCCTTATTTTTTCCAAAATGATAAAAGTCTGTCATTGTGCCGACGTTCTTCTCAATATCTAAAACTCAAACTTTATTCTTGTAAAACATGCGAGAGAAACTGATGATTTCTTTTCGTAATAGGGATGCGCATTCTGCTTCTTCGACTACGCCAAAATACGCGCAGTATTGAAGCACGAATTAAAAAAAAAAGAGAGAGAAACAATATTAATTTCGTTATTAACGAAGATTTTTTATATTCCTGAAACTGGCGGGTGGTTGGCAGGTGCTCTGGTGAGGCTTTCTCCTTCTTTCCTATCAAACATCTATCATCCTGCTCATCTCTTTTCCTTCATTTGTGCTTGATACTCTTTTGTAACCCCTCTAATCGTTGGCACTATTTTGACCTTATTGTGTTTCAAGTGTCGCAAAACTCTTAATAAACTAAACATTTTAAACGTTAAAAGGCATGCAACAACATGCATACTATGGAATATAATATTATAAAGTCTTGTTTTTGATTTGTATATTATGATGAGTCTTCACGTTATTAAGTTGGTGGCATCGGTAGCTTCGTAGTAAGGCCAAGTAAGGCTACCGGACCCGTTATAAT